CCTGGCTCAAGTATTGGGAAAAATCATTTCCAAATTAATTATTATTTCCGAATTAATTATTATTTCCGTATTAGTTATTATTTCCGAAAATGATTAATATTAAAAAAAAACTGAACAATACTTTTTTAAATATAAAAATAAAACACAGCATTTAGTCGCAATATTACAAACTCTAGCTCTTAACAAGATGGTTACAATAGCTACTAAACGCGAATGCATTGAATCAACACCTCTTAAAAGAGAGAAGACCTCCGCACGACGACCTTTATTGTTCCGTACGTAGTGACATCCTTTATAATAACCGCCACACCGCAGTTCAATAACCCTACCATTTTGACATATTTCTTTATTATTTCCTCCATTGCGTGGTTTATATTTGTTACGTCGGATAACTAAACTGATTATTGATAAGGACTTCTCTTCCAGGAAGTGTTGATATAATAAGGGCATTGATTAAGCATTAATTACAGGTCTTCATAAAAAAATAAATTAAGATTATAGAAAGTAATACAAATAAAATAAATATACACCTTAATAATTAATTTCGTTTTAGTTATTAAATCATCTAAAAGTAATCAGTGACTCAGAGACATTAATCTGATAGCCATTTTAAATTGTGCAAAGATGTTTTATTCCTTACTAAACTTTTTTCAGGATTTTGGTTGTCCTCGCTTGTATGGGAGGTTTTACTTATCAATGTATGGACTTTCTCCAACTCTACAGGACTTACCCGACATTTGTGGACATACAAGATACATCTCCGACATACTTTGATATGCCAGCTATATCATTTTGCAATTCTGTCGGGTAAGATTGTATTTAACCAGCACCTCTTACAAGAGAAAAGGCCTCCGCAAGGTAGTAGCTACCTATCTAGTAGTCCGATGTAACAAGCATAAAATGTGCTGCGGAGGGTAATTAATATGACACTACTACTAATTCCGACTACTGAATTGCGTAGTGTGAGACAAATACGAAAGATATCTCTACATTCGGACTGCTAAAGGATCTAATTTATTGTTCATTAGAACCCATACTGTGGTCTTTTTTCTTCTAGGATGTGTTAATTTAATTTGTCTAAAAATAAGAACAATGTAGTTAACATTCTTACACTGTGAATCCCTGCATACGTGAATATTTTAAACGTTTTTTTGTGGTTTTATTCTTAAGTAATTGTTGTACAGCTATTATTGAATGCTTTTTTTATTAGTGGATTTTTGAATAATAAATACCCAAGTCGGGATCAACCGGTGAATAGCAAAAAAGGAATTAGTAAGCAATGAACAATGAGGAATGAGTAAACTATGATAATATGCAGATATTTTTTTTAAAATCAAGTTTTTATAATGATTCCAAACATGTATATTAGGGGTGAGATTACGAAACAATCAGTATTTTCTAACATGTGTATGGCTTTTTCTTTGCTATAACAAACTGAAGGTTACTGCAACTATTTTGTTTTATATACGTCGTTGAGCAGCCGACCCAATTTTGGGTGTACGACTACTAATGTTCAACTCAGTAGCTGGTAATTTTGAACCAATCCAGAGGGCAAGGATACTCCTGGATAAGTACCCCCAGAGGTATTAATTTTGGAGGATTTTACGACTCGACAGATTTAACGCGCATCAGTCATCATTTACTAGACGGGGAGACTTCCGCTGGCCTGGGATCGAACGTATGAACACTTGGACGTGGGCTCAGCACCCTACCAACCAGGCCATCCCGGCCTTTTACTGCAACTATTGTCAGCGAGAGCGTAGGAAAATGTTTAATTTCTTCACCATAATGTATCTTTTAAATTAATAAGAGAAAGATTCACCTCATTGTTCGTCTAAAACCTTTACTTACGCCCTCTAACTTCGATATTGAAAAAGTTGTTGCTGTTAATATTTTTTTCGCACAACGTATTCATTTAAAATTGAAGCACATTTTAATTTCAATATTACTTAACTGTAAATTGGACTCAGTTTATTCAATTTGATAGGTACAACTTCAAAGCCACGTGTGACTGGATGGAAAAGAGAACTTCTTGTGAAATAAATGAATACGTTTTTGCTTTTTTAAGTGATATATTGTGTCTGACCGGTAACTCTGTATGTTTGAACGGATCTATACCAGCTGATTTGAAGGTAAAATTAACATCACCTGCTATTAAAATAAAGCACCATACAATGCATAATGATATTAGCATAAATCTTCATTAAAAATTATACATTAAACGACGTGTAAAACACCTATGACTTCGGTTTACTTAAATTCAATTCTAGATGTAATTCAAAAATTTAAACCAAATTAGGCACATTATTTACAGAAGTTTAATAACTAATTTTGAAGATCACCGAAGGATTGAACATGGTGGACCAGTTTCCTGGCCACCCATCTCTCCCGATTTAAGCGACATGCGGCAGATGTTATGTTCCTGAGCAGTGGTAGCTCAGGGGGTATAGCGTTCGCCTCCCAATGAGGCAACTCAGATACGAATCCCAGTGGTGGTTGGTTGATACGATTTCTTCCCCAGCTCGAACCAACCACAATGCTGACGTAAAATATCCTCAGTAGTAAACAGATCATGAATTAGAATCTCTTTGTCGTCGGACTTACCATGAGAGGCTTTTGTGGGTTTTTTTTCATGTAACTCAAATGCAGGTAATTCCATCAAAAAAAGTCTTCCACGAACGCTAATCTGTCCTAATGCTTGATCCAAGAGGTCTCTTGTCTTTTAGGTTAAGATCAAAATTACAAGGCTACGGAATTGAACTTCAGTCGTAAACTCAGAATTGGGTCGACCATTTAAACCCTGATTATAAAGTAAAATATTATAAAATAAAATGTTATGTCCCATTAACAAACCTACCACATTTTTTGCTGTAAGCAATATTCACTACTACCAACAGTCTTAGCCGCCGTCTCCATTCTATAGTTGAATTTAGATAACCAGAAGCAGGCGTTGTACTTCGAAGTTGCTTCTCATTTCGAGAGTTGTCTCCTACCATTCAACTGGGGCCAATATATTCCGCATAGCTCGTTGGCATTCCCTGTGGCTGAATGTATATAATGTTTGAGAGAGCCACTACAATACAGCACTAAGAAATTATTCTAAAAATGAATATTTATTAAACAAATCGATACATTTTAAAGTTTTACATTCTGATTAAAATTTCTTCATATCGGTTTTTGAAACATAACTCAGTATATAGACATTATTTTTTTCATGTTGTTAAGTTTTTATTGTTTCTAATAACAACCAAACCAATCTCGCTAGCCATTGGCCTTGCGAATTAAGTCAGGAATATAAGCGTTTCCTTTGACTAGAGAACACCGCAAAGGGTGAAAGTATGTATAGGCCTAGAACTCCACAGATAGATAGCAGCACCACTCATTCGTGAGGCTACTTCCCCAGTTTCAACATAGATCTGAAGAGGAAGAAATATTTCTCCAGATCCTTGTATCCATAGTATTACTCAGCGACCGACCTCAGGACCTGAGCTTGTATATCTTACGAACTAGTATGTACTCGATTAGTTCCAGCTGAGTCAAAGATCAAACCCAGGGTCCTCCGGACAGGAGTCCGAATCTCTAACAGCTGGACTAGCACTATCCTTTTTTTTTCCTTTTCTCTACTTGCTTTCTATTATTATTATTTTTTACAAACATTTATAGAATTTTTTTATTTTGCAGTACATTCACTATAAAGATTTCTTGAACTATACTTTAACTCCCAAAGAATTAGACGATTTTCGTATGCCAGTTGACGATTATTTTCAATGCACAATAGAGTATGATGGAATTGAAAAGGATTGCAAGTGAGTTGACAATGAAAAAATAATAACAATAAGATAACTATGCTTTATAAATACATCCTAAGTAAATTCTAATGCCTTACAAACGCAGTTTTGAAACAAGTTCCTTAGATAAATATTACAGTCATTTGTTACTAAACGCAGATATACTTCCACTTTGTATGGGTTCAAACGGAAGAAGGTTTCAATCATGTAATATATTTTATTGATTGCCAAATATTCTTTTGGATAAGTCAGAATAAAAGAAACGATTGAGGAAGACGTTTGAGATTCGATGGCAAACTCTTAATTTGAGCAATGATGATGAAGCTTGTGAAACAAAATTCTTAGAAGAAAAATAAGTTTTCTGACTTCTCTAGCAACAAAAAAAAACGTGTAACGCAAAAATTGGGGAATCGACAAATAAATCTATTTATGAAAAGTGTAATATTTAAAACTTTCACCGCTTAAAAAAATTGGGTTATTGAAAATAAAGCTTCAGTGTCAGATTCCTCAACGAAAACTTCCTTTTCAGAACGCTAAATTTTCAATTCTGTATAGATAATTTATCTAGATAGAAGCATGCATGACGAGCGTGGTAGTCTTTTATTATAAGATTAACAGTTGAAATTTTCTAAAGAGCTTAAAATCAAGCAAAAAAAGTTTCGACTGTTATATGTTTATTACATCTATGCATTTCTCAACAAACTTTCAAAATTTCACTCTTGTGAGTGATATATATATATATATATCTATGNGCTTGCGATTTTTTGTTTTATGGCGTGAGTGATGGCTTCCTTTAGTGCTATTGCTTCCGCCTGGAATACTGTGTTGTAAGAACTAAGTTTCAATTGTGTGGCCGATGTAATTATGCCATCTTCATATTGAACAATTGCAGCACCCGTTCCATCAGCCTTCTTGGATCCATCTGTAAATATGTTTATTTTTCTTGTTAATCTAGCTTGTTTAATGATCAAATATTAGTACAAATGTAGCGAAAGACTTTTTTTCTAGTGTAATCTACATTTACAAGTGTGATGTTGCTACATCACAAGTGCGTCGATGTTCATCTCCTCAATAGTTTTTTCAGTTTTCGTTCTTTTAACCGCAATAGCCTTTCGCTACATTTAACTTGATCAACTAATTTTTTCTTATCGATTATCCCCACCCTAACTTTAACCGTGTATCGCTTTGCTCTTTTCCTCGTGCCTTCTTGGCGTGAGTTGAGGAAGCCGCAGTATGAGAGAAACAACGTTCTCATTTATGAAATTTTCAAGCTCTTCTCCCAGTAAGATTTTTAATACTTCACCCCTTTTAATAATGTAAAAATAAATGTAAGATGTGATGTAAGATGTAAAAATATTTAAATTTTAAAGCTTATCAAATAAATGTAACTGTAAATCATATTTTATTTAATTTAATCTTTGCCAAATTAAGATGAGCAGCACGTGTGCCTTGTCGCCAATGGTTGGCGAGTTTCCATGGTAACAATCACCAAATCTACAATTCAGATGTTTACGAATCGTCTATGCTAGAATTCCACCATTTAAAAGAGATAAAAAGGAAGCCTCGCCCGATTCGAAATATGAAAATATGCGTTCCAGTTGAATGATTAGATGTGGTATAAGGGGAGCCAGCTCCATCAAAGTGAACCACCAGAATGTCTGATGAATAAAATAAAGTTTCTTAACATCTAAATGAACTTTGTGCCCTCTTTAACTCCATTTCAAATGCACCTACCCAACCAGTTACGAAACCTGGAGATCCTTCTGGAACGAAGGATCAGGTAATTAATTTGAACAGTGTTTTGTTTAATGATACGATCACTCTTTTATGTTTTTATTTATTTTATTCTAAATTTTTTTAAATCATAACAATACGATAACAAGTAATTATGATCACATCTAATCTTGAATGCACGTGGGATTTTGATTTCATATTCATTTATAAAAACTGTTCTTTTTTTAATTTTCCTTTAAATCAAATAATTTTCTTTAATATCAAATCTTTAAGATTTGCAAATTTACCTACATTAAAAAGATGAATTTTAACTGTTCTAAATATCCGTGCTCCTTATATATGAAAAAGAACTACTACTGTGTTTACATTTTGTATATTAACCCTTCATTGCAAGTGAGGTACGCAAAAATATGTTTACATGCCAGGGAGGGGGATGCATGAACAATCCAGCTGCAAAACCTCTAAAGAACCATCCAAATTTTTACTTTTACTATAAGTTAAAATGCTTTGGTGGAAGAAACCAACAACTATTGGAACTGCGTACTGAAGAGTGATGTGTAATAAACCAACGAACTCAGAACCAAAGTAATTGATCTTCGATTAGTTTTCCATGAATTAACAGACTCAGTTCCTTTAAACTGACACGAAGTAAGCCGAACATATAATTCTCTAAACAAAATTCGACTTAAGAAATGAATTAGACTGAATTCAGAACCTTAAAAATTACAGAGAAGAGAGGGCATATTTTAAAAACTTTTCATTTCAAATTTTCATTTTTAAAATTTATATAAAGTAAATTAAACAGTACATGGAAAATGCCTTTACAGTTCTAGAACTCCAAAAAACTTTCTGTAGAATTAAAAGAAAAATTATAATATTTTTAAGAAAGTTTTCGATCAAAGGTGTTATACGGTTTGAACGAGGCAGGGATTTCTTTGGGCAAATTTTCTGAAAAAATTTGCATTGAAAATTAAATAGTAGGAAGTGCTTATGCTTATTTATAATTTATTTGCTTAAAAATTGAAATATCTTTCTTAACTTTGTAAAAATTACTTACTGTTCACAAAATTTTTATAAATTTACTTACTTTTGACAAAAACTAAATACTTTATGCAATATACTAGCAAAATAACTCATTGTATTTTATAAAAGGCGTTGAACAGCTCAACCAATTCTGAGTTTATGACTATCAGTGTTCATCCCTGTAACCTTGTAATTTTGAATCCAATGAAGAAGACAAGGGAATTTCTTCATCAACTAGCATTGGGCACCTTTTGACGGAACTAAGCAGCATTTGCTTTGCGATGTAAACCTCTCAAGGTTAGCCCGAAGCCAAGGTGGCTCTAAGGCATGATTTGTCTATCACTGAGGATAATTCTTTATCAATAAGCCTCCAGTTTGAGCTTTTTTATTGGGCGGCATAGAGTTCCAAGACACGCTGTGTATTCAATGACTGATTTTCAATCATAACTGCTAAAATGACTTCTTAATATGTGGGGTCTAATCATTCAATCAAAAGTCATTAGGGGTTTTTCCAACTAGTATTGAAGATTTAATCATTAACTCTTAATCACCAAGATAAAGACCATGGATATAATGCTTGCATAAGCTACACTTTTAGAAATTATACACCACATTAAATAACACTATTGAACAAGCTTTCGGAACGATTCCAGTAGAACCATATAATTGTCCAATCAAACCAAACTTAATTACTCGATACTGTCAGCCATTTTAAAAGGAAATATAATTCAATTTTACTGCGTATAATTTTTTTCAGAAAAATTGAATGGTACTGTGGTGCACTATTCTGATATTATGATAAAACATGGAGCTGATTTATGTGTTAAAATAGTTTGTTCATTCATTATTTGTTTTTCATTCACAACGAAACTGCATGACAATAGAAATAGTAAAATAAATAAATATGTTTAATTTTCAGTGATGCATCTTCATTTCAAAACCAATACTACTCAACGTCCAAATCCAATCGAAAAAATAAACCAATCATATATACCGACCTACAACTTGCCTGATACGCCATCCATTCAGTTGTCTGTGCATTCTCCATTCTTTCTACCCAGTCCCCACAATGGTGGATATAACTATCTTGGAGGAAGATCTTACGATCTAAGCGTATCAATGGTGGGTTTGTATAACATTTTTTAATCATATGTAAACTATAATTTCTTTATACTTGCTCTTTACAATGACGGATACAACTACATTGGAGGAAGATCTTATGATCTAAGCGTATGTTTGTATCACATTTCTTTATTCTAAGGTGAGTTTGTATCACATTTCTTTATAATATGTAAACTGCAATTTCTTTATGCTTGCTCTTTACAATGGCGGATACAACTACATTGGAGGAAGATCTTACGATCTAAGCGTATCAATGGTGAGTTTGCATACCATTTCTTATTCACATGTAAACTATAATTTCCTTATACTTGCTCTTTACAATGGCGGATAAAACTACATTGGAGGAAGATCTTATGATCTAAGAGTATCAATGGAGAGTTTGTATCACATTTCTTTATAATAGGTAGACTGCAATTTCTTTATACTTGCTCTTTACAATGGCGGATACAACTACATTGAAAGAAGATCTTACGATATAAGGTAATGAATGATGATGAGGTTGTGAATGAAAATGCTAATTTCTGTATAAGTGCTTTTTACAATGGCGGGTATAAAGGCTACATTGGAGGAAAATCTTACAATTTAAGAGTATCGATAGTGAGCTTGTACGATGAATAAGTTAATTTCCTTATAAATGCTCTTTGCAATGGCAGGTACGACTACATCGGAGGAAATCTTACGATTTAAGCGAATTAATAGTGTGCATGTATCACATTTTTTACCGTATGTATAAATTGTAATTTCTTTATACCTGCTCTTTACAATGGCGAAAACAACTACATTGGAGGAAGATTTTATGATCAAAGCGTATCGATGGTGAGTTTGTATGGTAAGAATGGTAATTCCTTTATACCTGCTCTTTATAATGACGAAAATAACTACGTTGGAGGAAGATCGAACAATATAGGTGTATCAATGGTGAATTATAATCACTTTTGTAATCCTATGTAAATTGTAATTTATTTGTAACTGCTCTTTACAGTGGCAGATACAACTACAATACGAGGAAATATTGCAATATCAAAAGATGACATCGGCTTCTCTTTCACTTCTCACTCTCGTTTTAATTTCATATTGTCTCATTTTGCAGAAGCAACTTTTTCTAATTCGAAATTTATTTCTTGAGTTCTTTTTCTTTCTTCAGTTTCTTTTCTTTTATTTTCTTCTTGTTAAATATCCCGTATGAATGCGACGGAGTAATGACCATCGCTTGAAAATTCTACGGATTTATCAGAAGTCACTAAAACTAAACTATACAACTTTTATCCAAAAAAATAACATGAATTATCTATCTTAGGCCAGACAAACTCACTCATTGCTGTCAGAATTATACTGACTCCTTTAAGGAAAGAGGTTTATCCCAAAACGGAGGCACGATTCTAGCGCCACCTTTAAATTTAAACAATTAATAAATACAATAGTAATTTTTTTTATCACAGTTATACAAATTTAGCAAATAACTATTAGAAATATGCAAAAAGTGAAATTAACATTATGGGCGTATAAAAATGTGGTCTCATTAGTTAAGCCAGAAGAATAACTGAAAGTTTAGTTTCAATCATTCTTCTGGCCTAACTATTGAGACAACATTTTTCATATTGTGCTTATCATCCTCCCACTCCCTAGATTTTGATTGTCAAAATTCTTTCATTACCACTTTTATCTTCTACAGCCAGTCATGATACATGCTTGTTGTTACCTAATTGTTAGTTTTCTGGAATCAAACTGTGATATCATTTCAGTTGAACAAACTTTTCAGTGAGCAAACATTTAAAAAGTTGGGAGATATTAGAGTTTTTTGCAGTGTTCGGAGTTATAATTAAAAAGTTTCTGTTATATTTAATTTTTTTTTATCTTGACGTGGACAATTTGACACTTTGAAAATCACCTGGGAAGTTACAGTTCGTTTATAGAAGGACGATAAGGACGTCCAGTGCTATGGAAACAGGAAACACACTTAATGAATAGAAACTATTCGATCATTTTGTTCAGATTTTGTATTTTGTCTTTTAAATTTACCTTGCTATTCCTGTCTTCTATTGTATTGCTTTGAATGTTTTTTCTCTCCTTCAAGGAGTTGGCAGTTTAGCCTCTTCCCTCAATAATAACCAACCTTAAATGGACGTTACTACGAAAAATTAATTAAAAATATTTGATTAAGCAGCAAACATACTGGACAAATCTGAATAGACGTCCATAAGTATTTTTTTGGAATGCAAAAGATCAAGCGTTCGCTGTTTAACTATTTATTTTAATAAATCTTAATTCAGTAAAGAGTAAGTGTTTATGTCCAGAACAGCTTGTTGTCTTAAATACACAGTAACTAATTAGAACTTTTCATCTTGTAGAAAGTAAAGCATCTTCTTCCCTCACCGTATCAAACAAATTGCACAGATTACATGAAAATATGGAGGGAGCGAGGTGGAAAGGCGCCAATTGAACAACTGGTACGTAAATACCCGCAAAGATTTATAAGTTCAACAAATAAAAAATGCCAAAAACAGGGAACAGAAAGCATAGTTCTATTTCTTTATTTTTTAAAAATACAAGCAACAAAGCGTATAGTCCACAGAGACACTTCCAGAAAAGGATCTAAAAATGCATTTTAAGATCACAGGAATTATTTTAGGGCATTTAATATTCATCCAAAGTGATGTTTTCATCGATGAGCTTTCTACACTAAATTCTTCCATAAGTAGCCCACTAGTGGAGAGATGAAACCTGTGAGTGCCTGAAGTACAAAAGCTCTCCGTATAATCCATCTCCAAGAATCACTTCCAGAGAAGGATCTAAAAATGCACTTTAAGATCACAAGAATTATTTCAGGGCATTTAATATTCATTCAAAGTGATGTTTTCATCAATGAGATTTCTACACTAAATTCTTCCATAAGTATCCCACTAGGGGAGAGATGAAACCAGTGCACGCCTGAGTTGCAAAAGATCTCCGTATAATCCATCTCAAAGAATCACTTCCAGAGAAGGATCTAAAAATGCATTTTAAGATCACAAGAATTATTTCAGGGCATTTAATATTCATTCAAAGTGATGTTTTCATCAATGAGATTTCTACACTAAATTCTTCCAAAAGAAGCCCGCTAGCGGCGAGATGAACATCAGTGCAGGTCTGAAATAAAATGCTTGCATTTTCTTTCAATGTTGCTACAGTGCTCGATTATGTTTAATTATTTTATGAAATTGCTTTTTTCTCCTTATTTGAAAAAAAAATTAAATCTTTTATTTAAGTGATGGCAAGTGCCTTTATTTATTAACAGCATTTCTATTACATACTCTTTACTTTCTATTTCATTAACTAAATAAAGTTTTAACATCACATTCTTTTTTTTAATTAGGCTGTGATTCAAGAATGTATGATGAATATAAGTCTCATTTCTCAAGGATGCGTCCCTAAACATATTAAATATCCTCACAATTTCAAAATATGCAAGGAACAACAAAAAGACACCTCTAGTAAGATATTTTTAAGTTTTAAACACATATTTAAATGCTGATCTTACATTTTTGTGAGCAAAATAATAAGCAATTTTTAAAACAATCTGTCACACTTTAATCTGCCATAAAAACAAAACACATAAAAACTCGATTGAAATAATTTAAATTTTTGATTTTCCTTAAAACTTCAATGTTCTAACGTTTAAATGAGTATATTGTTTTGAAAAATATATCTAAATTAAGAAATATATTTTTCTATGCAATAGTCATATATACTCACAATCATTTTCAGTGTTTTAAAAAAATTTTTTTATCACTATATGATTTATTTTATTTCATTTAATTGCATAAAAAGCAATAATAATGCCGTATAAGTTTTGTTAATACTAATCTTTTGTCTTAGTAACTTGAGGTGATCTTTGCTACTTCGGCCATTATTTTGTTTGAATTTTGAAAACTAATATGGTCTGCTGCTTATTGCTTGAAAGGTTTTCTAGCGAAGATGCATGTCTTAAGACATTTTAATTAAAATTATTTTTAAATTAAAACCCTTCTCTAAAATTAAGAACACATAAGGAAGCAGTTAAAAAACATATATATGATTTTGAAGTATTTTTTTCCTAAAAAAAATAAATATCACTTAAAGAAATTTATATATATATATTATATATATATATATATACACCGAAAGAGCCATTACATTACATCATGACTACCCTCCATCTATAACAATGGGCTCGCCCAGGTTTTCATGGTTTCTCGCCCGGGAACAATGTTTTCACGGGGCACGTTAGGACCCATAATCCTCATAGAACGATTCCTGACGTCTGTAAGCTACTTGAACATAGTTGCAGATCAGGTTCACCCATTCATGGCAATAGTTTTTCCTGGGGGGATGATGTTTAAAAACAGGATAATGCACCATGTCATAAGGGTCGAATCGTCATGGATTGGTTCGAGAAACATTCCAGTAACTTTCAAGTCATGTCTTGGCCCCCAAATTCACCTGACCTTAATNTATATATATATATATATATATATATATATATATATATATATATATATATATATATATATATATATATATATATATATATATATATATATATATATATATATATATATATATATATATATATATATATATATATATATATATATATATATATATATATATATATATATATATATATATATATATATATATATATATATATATATATATATATATATATATATATATATATATATATATATATATATATATATATATATATATATATATATATATATATATATATATATATATATATATATATATATATATATAAAGAGAAAGCTAATATAAATCCTATTATAACGTATTACTATTATAAATATATAGTATAATGACACTAGTACTGTTACCATTATTATTATTATACATCGTCGATAAGCCAAGCATACATCGTCTTGTACTGACAGGACACGGACACGAAGTGAGGGCAGGACTTAGTTAAGGGCCACGCTTATGATACTATATACCAGGGGTGGCCAACCTGCGGCTCGCGAGCCACATGAGGCTCTTTGAAGGATTATTTGTGGCTCTCGATAAATGTACCCGAGTTCCCTTTTCATTTCTGTGCTACTATATTTTAAAAAAATTATTATCATTCCGTATGTGTTTCAAAATGTCTTTTAAGTTACTGAAAACAAATATGAAAGACTAATGCAACGTTGTTCAATGCAAGGTGAGTTTTCCATTTCTAATATAATTATGACACAAAAAGCATCTGGGGAGTTAGAATTAATACAGATGCAACAAGATCAAGCTTTACAATTAAAATGTTAGTCGACGTCAAGTACTGAATTTTGGAAATTTGTACCAGAATCGAAGTATCCTGAATTAAAAAAGGCCGCTTTTCGAATTATTTCAATATTCGGAACAACGTACTTACGTGAATAATTTTATTCCACTTTAAAATTTGTGAAATTCAAACACCGATCAGTATTAACTAACCACCATCTCAGAGAATTACTGAGAAGTGCTGTTATCCATTATTCACTAAATTTTAAGGAATTATCAAAAGAAGTAAAATAAATGTGTTTAATATTTAAATTCAATACACATATTTTGTACTTTTACTTAAATGTTTTCAATCATAGAACTTATGTATAAAAAAAAATTAATTCCTTTCTTGCATACCTTTTAAATACGTATTTAATTGTGGCTCGAGAAAAATTTCACATTTTTAAAAATGGCTCGACTATCAAGGAGCTTGGCCACCCCTGCTATATACTATGATACTATATACTGTGATACTATATACTATGATACTATGTACTATGATACTATATACTATGATACTATGTACTATGATACTATATACTATGATACTATATACTATCATGCTATTATACTATTTTGTCATTTAAAATTACACNTATACTATATACTATTATACTATATACTATTATACTATATACTATTATACTATATACTATTATACTATATACTATTATACTATATACTATTATACTATATACTATTATACTATATACTATTATACTATATACTATTATACTATATACTATTATACTATATACTATTATACTATTATAAGTATATTTTAGTAACATTTTTTTTTTCTAAACAGACAATACTTTGATACACCAGTGTTCACTATCAGCAGTAAACTACAATCAACCTTGCGAGTAAGTGCCTGGCATTAAATACTCTATTCTGCATTTTATTTAGGTCCATTTCTGAAATAAATAAGATACGTATCAATTTTTGCTTATAATTTTCTTTTATATTTTATAAGGAAAGTGTACTTATTCCAAGCATGGGGCTTAAGGCTCTCACTTCTTACATGGCACAACTAAACATATTTTGCGCATTTTAAATAAAACAGCTCCCATTGACCATAAGTACAGTTAACTTACTGCCTACGACATCAAGAACATTATGCAATTATAGAACATGAGTGAAGGGCAGATCGCATTCTTCTTTCTTGGCTATTATTTTAAAGATGCCTCAAAGAAAGACAGATCACATGATTCTCCGATTGAAGATCAAGCACACAGAGCAATGCTTCGAAGAAGGATGGATAAGTGAGAGTGTTCATTTAGGCCATGCTTAGTGCGATTTTGAAATTGCCCTGTTTTCTTTTTTTTTTGGGGGGGGGAGGCTCATTTTCTCGTCATTTATACCGTTATTTTACATTTTTTTAAATGGTTTGAATGGTGTAATAAATAGTGTATTAAAAAATAATTAATAGTGCAATGGTGCAGTGAATAGTGTACTAAAAAAATGGTTTGAATGGTGTATTAAATATGGTAAAGAGAGCCGCAATTTGATGAGTTCACGAGATAGGTACTGAACATTGATAGCTGAACTTTCTTTCAATTGGATATCTACAAATAACGTCATCGTAGGTAAATCGTGGCATTTGTCAACTCAGCCAATCAGGTTCGACATACATGGATGACGTCGCTTACAGGTATCCAATTAAATGTTATTTAAATAACAAGGTTAGGCATACTCACTTCACTTCTTCTAGCATTGCAAGTACCCAATTATTAAGAGGTCACAGTCGAAGTACGTAACGATGCTTCCTAGTTTTTCTTTCTTTTTTTTCTTTTTTTTTGAGTGTTTAATATGTAGCAAAGGGCATGTAAAGCGACAAAAACGTGCTTAGCTCAAAAAGTTATCTTGTGTGTGGCTAGTCTTCGAAATCTGGCGTAGTCAGGTAGACTCCGTAAGGTCATTTAAATATCGAAAGTCCACTACGGTCAGGGGATCAGATGACAGATCGCCTGGTGTTAGTCCAAAGCAGTTCAATATGTGCTCGGGTTAATCAGAATGGTTAATACATTTCTTAAAAATTGGAAAACTCTTTTCACTGTTCCTCAAAGAGAGGCACTGAAGATGCCCACTTACAAGCCTAGCCAGAGTGATCAGAGTTCCTCTATGGTATTTGGTGTTTAATAGTACCAGGGCGTGCCCCACTGTACCAAGATGTGCCCCACTGTACCAGGGCATGTCCCACTGTACCAGTCATGCACAGGTAGTATGTGCCACAATGCATTACTCCTTAAATTTACATTGGTATACATTTCTTGAAAAGTGAAGTGATCATGACACTCGCGCTGCCGTCTTTAGCCAATCTCTTCGCAATTTTATTAAAAAGTTATCTTAATTGCAAAGTAAAGTAAAGTAAAGTTGTGGATTTACCAAAAAATTGCCTTAATACTACACAAATTAATTTCGGATTCCTTTTATATTATTTAATTTCATTATTAGTTGTGCGCTTAATACTCACCGAAAATAAAGAGGTCTCTCTCTCACTTTTATTTATTTAAATACCTATCAACAATGTTTTTAGGTAAACCTATAACTAAAAAATTAAAATTCGTTTGTTAAGGAACTATTCAATTATCAGCAATTAAAAACCACACTTTTGGTTATAACCTAAAAATCAATCATTATTTTTTAGAAACATTGTACACAGACTTCTATTAATACTGCCAATATTCTGTTAAAGTTTGAAAATTATCGAATAAAAATTGCACTTTTTTTTACTTCAATTACCAGTGTCCCCTTAAGCATTCAAAATAACTTGAATTACTATTTATTTCTTTAATTTCAGTTCAATCTCTTATTCTGTAACAAAAATGGATGAGAAAGATATTAAGAGTCCTATAATGCAGCTTAATGTAAGTATGAATTAACTCACATCATGAAATGGTGAGATTTTTTTAAAAGCATCTGAAAAATAATAGCATTTATCTTAAAACATTTAGCACTATACAAATTCAGAAACACATATCATAGGGATTTTGTGCTGTCATTTTGTACCGTTATCACTACGCTTAATATGCAATTTTTTTATCATTTGGCAATAATAAATTACGTAAAAAAAAAAAATTTCAGAAAATTAAGAAAACAAAATTTTTTCAAGATAATTATAGTGAAGAATAATGAAGATAATCACACCATTAGACTTTACAAACTATAAGCGCCACCTATGGTCGAGCACACGCTTTACATAAATCAGATGTATCATTTGAAAAACTTAGCTGATTCTAGCTGCAAATCAGATCTGGTCCATTTTACACAATGAAACTTTTTGATGGATTCCTAATTATACTTCACAAATAGAGATTCTATTTATTGATAGAGAATTTTTATTTTCTAGTTTATGCAACAAGATTGTTCAGGCAACAAAGTATGGCAACCAGAGTAAGTATTTATTATAATAAATAAATACATATATATATATAATATACCGAAGAGCCGTTACATTATGACCACCCTCCATCTACAACAATGGGCTCTCCCAGGTTTTCATGGTTTCTCGCCCAGGAACAATGTTTTCATGGGGCACATTAGGACCCATAATCCTCATAGAACAATCCCTGACGTCTGTAAGCTACTTAAACATAGTTGCAGACCAGGTTCACCCATTCATGGCAACTGTTTTTCCTGCGGGGGATGGTGTTTACCAACAGGATAATGCACCATGTCATAAGGGTCGAATCGTCATGGATTGGTTCGAGGAACATTCCAGTGACTTT